GCACTGGGGATGAAATTTGAAGCTTTTAAGAAGAATTTGAAAACTCATTTATTTTTGTTATAATTATTTCTGTTACATTTTTTAATGTTTGCATTGCTGACTCACTTATATTTCATTTGTTTTTTATTGATATTAGATAGCGCTTTTGAGAATTTTAACTTTTAATTGGCGCTTTATAAATTTTTCTTTAATAATAATAATAATAATAATAATATATATATATATTTACAATATTCTATAAATTCTACCGAATGTTTGGCGTTAATATGTTTGTAGTTCGTTTTTTCGATTTTTCTCACTAAAGTTTTTTGGTGAACGTTTAGTTTATTAAAATTCAAAATAAATTTATTTTTCGAATTCATGCTGCAAATAAGGCCATATTTCGATTCCGAATGATGCGCATCAAAGTTCAATTTTACAACACCAAAGTTAATTTTTACAGCGTCAAATTTAATCTTGACAAAGTCAATATTTTCCTATATATACAGCAAGGAGCACTGACGATGATTCATTCGGAATCGAAATATGGCCTTATTTGCAGCATGAATTCGAAAAATAATTTTATTTTGAATTTTAATAAACTAAACGTTCACCAAAAAAGTTTAGTGAGAAAAATCGAAAAAACGAACTACAAACATATTAACGCCAAACATTCGGTAGAATTTATAGAATATTGTAAAAATTATGGTCTATTACCAACATATATATATATATATATATATATATATATATATATATATATATATGTATGTATGTATATATTAGGACTGTCAGAAATGCATTTATTGATGAAAATCACAGCATGTGCGGCGTTAGTTAAGTTCCAATTTAACTTTTCGATTTAATTTTCATCAATAATTGCATATATATATATGCATCACTTTATATATATATATATATATATATATATATCAAAATAATACAATAAAATGCTTTGTGAACCGTGCATTCAATCATTCATCCTCAACCAAAATTGCAATATGCAACTGAAAAGAATTACTAATCTTATAGATAGTAAGCAATGGTGCAAAATACCATTCATCGAAAACACCATTCAATAGAGACACAGCGGAATAACAATATAATCAAAAACAACAATGACAACGACACAATTCTACATTACAGAATTATATGTCAACGGCACATAAAATAGACGAAATCATTCTCAAAAAAATCATAAAAAGTAACATTACACTAATCAATCACACTAAAAAAATTCAATACTGTTTATACTAAAACAACTGTAAGACATCACAATTGGTTAAAAAGAACAACTGCACTCCTAAATTTATTCTGGATGCAATGATAGCCAAAAAAACCTTCAATTTTTAACAAAAAGATGAGACAAATTGCAAAAGAAAAATTGAATTTTTTTTTTCAGAATAAAAACTCCGTTAGAAATTCGCCAATCTTCGTGAACGATAGTTCCTGAATTTGACCAATAGTTTACGGTAAATATAAATTCCAAAGCGATATATGTTAGCAAGAAAATCTTGTACACACACACACACATACACACACACAAACACACACAAACAATATATATATATATATATAAATATATTGTTATATATATATAATATATATATATATATTGTTTGTGTGTGTGTGTGTTTGGTTTGTGTGTGTGTGTGTGTGTGTGTGTGTGTGTGTGTGTGTGTGTGTGTGTCAAACTTAATTACTTAATTTGATCGATGTTTTTACGTTATAAATTTTTTTATAATTTTTCAAAATTTCGACGAAACTTATTGATAGCTAGCACAAAAACAGTAAAACAGTAAAACATATAAATCTACTTGTTCCAAGAAGTTGGTTTCTTTTGTTATAAATATGCTTGTAATACAATTTTGTGGTAATTTGCTGGGGTTTTTTATATTATTTATTACTGTTTTTTCATTTTCTGTTTAAATGATTTATTTGCATGTTAGTGTTTTTTACCGTTGTGTCAGTAATGGTTGTTGTTGTTTTGTTTATTTGTTGTTATTATGACTAACCTGTTAATATTTAAAAAGATTATCGTCATTCATTAATTCGCCGTATTCCTTGTTTTCAATTATATGTTAAATAATGACGGTGAATAATGAGAGCGGTGGCGATTGATAATTTTTATAATTTAAATAATATATCAATATAAAATGTTTGTGTTGCACTTTCACATAAGTTTTACACAAATATGTGTAAATAATAAAAGAACTGTGCAGGCAACAAAGCTGCTAGTTCAGACCTTCAATTAAATTGTTGTTGAAATGAACGTAATCTAATTAGAATAACTCCATCGAGTAATCAGGCACGTCGGAGGAAATGATTTCTAACGTTAATTGCCATCGGGTTATTAATGCCAGAACAGAGTTATGCTCAAGTAGCCTCTTTTAACAGTCAATCATTAAGTTTCAGTTCACTTCAAATTACATAGTTAAGAAAAATGTCAAAATTTTACTTCCTAATCTCGCAAAACATAAAAAAAATGAGCGTGGATTTTTTAAATACATATGATACTATTGTCAAAAATGTTTAAAAATATTCTAATATTTGAAATTAATAACTAAAATAAACAGCAGAAAAAAAGATCTCACATTTATTTTTAAATTCAACTCGAAGGATAAAAAAATAAATACAAAACAAAATCATAGCAATTGTTTAAAAAATCATTTAAGTAATGATGATGACCTCATCATTTAAGTAATGATGATAACATCATTTGAGTGAAACTGGTGATAACATCGTTTGAGTAATAGCGATGAGTATAGGATGCGGTAAAAGATGAACATATGTGTGTTGATTATCTCGATAGGGAGCATTCGTTTATAGGCTTTATTAGATTTGTTGTCTATTCAATCGAAAACAAGTTCAATTTGATTGTATGTTGGCAATATTTTATTTAGACAAAAAAATCACGTTTTCAATTCAAAAATTCAAAACACTACGTTTTTTCATGAAAAATATATTAATGTCAACACAGTTCAAAAACAGAATAAACATTTAAGCAATGTTGATCTCAAATTAAAATTTTGATGATGCAACATTTTTTACAAGATATTTTTTATTACATTGTGATAAAGCACTATTCATATTTTACATTCAAATATCGTAAAATCGGTTTTTTGCTAGTCGTTTTTTTAGTTGCATCTATTGTTAATTAACCTTAGGTTTTAGTTATTAAGTATATGCAGCCAGACTGAATTATAAATTAATTTAATTTTGTATCATTTTAGTTTAACATTTTATGTTTCATAATGTTCAAAACGCGATGTAAAAAAAGAATAAACGATAACGTTCAAACGTCAGCGAACTGAGCATACACATGTTCAGGAGTCGATGTCTTAAGCTTTTAGTGTTGTGTTCAAATTATTCAAAGACTTTATATTTATTGACATTTTAATTTTGAACTAATCAAGATGTTGAACTGCGAATGACATTCTAAAATGTCATTCACAGTTCAACATCTTTCTCTTTCAAAAAATTTACCCAGTTACTGAATCTTTGACATATTCACGCCACCGTCTATCCTACCATCCAGCAGCCAACGGTTTGGTGGAACGATTGCACAGACATGGTGGAACGATTGCACAGACAACTTAAGGCCTCGTTTATGGCTCACGATTCAAATAAATGGACGGATGTATTATCAGTGACACTGTTAGGCATTCGTGTAACGGAGAAGGAAGACCTAAAGTTGTCACCACTCACTTCGCCTTCCCGGAGATTTTCCAAACCCACGGCCAGAAACAACCGACGTGCACACATATGCATCAAAACTAAAACGCTGGTCGGAAATTCTAAAAGCAACAAAACCGAGAACAACTACAAATGTGAGTTACATCCAAAAAAAACAACAAAACAGGTTTTGGTTCGCACGGATGCTCACATACAGTGGCGTCACTAGGGTTGGTGTCACCCGGTGCGGTAACTCATGGTGTCACCCCTCTCATGACACCCCATAGACATACAGCATTTTTAGCAAAATTTATAAACACGAACAAGTTAAATGTGCTCGGCCGAGGCGCTTAATAATTCGGACGTCGAATTTGAATGGTATAAACGTCGAATACAAAAATGATTTGAACGAAAAAAATTTTATTCATAATACATTTCTGGGCGCTGGGCAGGTAGGCTGAATTAATGATAAGAATAATTTCATGGAGGGACATAAAAACATATACAGTGATATTTTGGTGTCACCCCCTGTAAGGGTGTCACCCGGTGCGGTCCGCACCCCCCGCACCCCCCTAGTGACGCCACTGCTCACATATGCATCAAAACTAAAACGCTGGTCGGAGATTCTAAAAGCAACAAAACCGAGAACATCTACAAATGTGAGTTACATCCAAAAAAACAACAAAACAGGTTTTGGTTCGCACGGATGCTCACCGTTTACCACTACAACCTCCCTACAATGGACCCTACACAGTGATGGAGCGACACCAAAAATATTTTGTCCTCAACAAAAAGGGGCATAGAGACACGGTGTCTATAGACTGTATGCAAACCTGCATAAACACCGGCACAGTGGCGAATTTAGGCATAGGCGCACTAGGCGCGCGCCTAGGGCCTCCAGATTTTAGGGGCTCCCAAAACTTGAAAAATGAGTTTTTTGGAGGCTTCAAAATATTTCGCACAAAAAAATTTAATAAGTTTGAGAAAAATTAATTTTACATTTTCAGATAATATATTTCATAATTATTTCTAAATATTTTTGAACAACGTATGAAAAAAAAATATACAAACAACAATTTATGCGTTGCCAAAAATGCGCGCGCGAATTTTCGCTCAACCCTAAATTAAAAATGTAAACAAACTTTTGAATTGTGGTAAAATTCGAACACTATTGGCGCATCTTACGTCACAGATTTCGATTAAAAATTTCAATTCAAATTTTAATTTTTTGCAATAACTAATTGTTAATTGCCAGTTTATTACACTATTTTAATAATTTCACTGTGTGGATAAATGATTATTTTTCCTTCTGCTGCTTATTGCAACACAATCGTTTCATTAAAACAATGTCTATGAGACAATATCCCTCAGGTGCAAAAAAACGTGATATTCGAAAGAAAAGAAAAGCAGAAGATGCGAAAAACGAAGGCGCCTTGTTGACATTTTTAGCGAAACGACCGGTAACCCCATCATCAGAAACTACTCAAACAGAAATAACAGCTGGTAATCAAAGTGCAGTCGTCTCGGCAACAGCCAGTATGGATTCTGAGTCCTATCCAACAGAATTGCCAGAATCTGAACCGCCGGCTAAAGGTTCTATAGAGGTCGCGAGTATTGAAACTGTTGATAACTGTAGTGAAATTTTGACAGATATTGCTATGTGGCCAGCGAATTTGACAGAAACCATGCGTAATTATGTTTTGGATTTCAAACCAAAAAATGTTGGCGACTTTTCATGTGCTAGCATGTTGATGACAGATCGTGGCAGACAATATTTTCGTCATTTGTCTGAACATAACTTTTACTTGACCAAGGCGAATGGCCAAAAAGAAAGACGTGAATGGTTAGTGTTCAGTGAAACTAGTGGAAGTGTTTATTGTTATGTATGCAAACTGTTTCCAAATAAAGCTAGTCAATTTTCAACAAATGGGTGTTCAGATTGGAAAAATATTGCCGCGAAAATTTCTGAACATGAAAATTCGTATGGCCATGTTCAAACAATGTGCACTTTGGCTAAACGCTTAAACGCAAACGGGCGTATTGACAAACAAATGGCGAAACAGTCAGATGATGAAAGGCAATACTGGAGAGAAGTTCTACGAAGGATTGTAGCAGCTGTACAGTTTCTTTCCTCTCAAGGTTTGGCTTTTCGTGGTCATGACAACAATGACGGCAACTTTACTAGTTGCTTGAATTATTTGTCAAAATTTAACCCTTTCTTAGCAAATCATATTGCACGGTACGGTAACAAGGGAAGTGGTTCTGTTAGTTGTCACATGCTACTTGTCACGAATTTATTGAAATAATGGGCAATGCTGTCAGAGATCAGTTTATTTCAGAAGTAAAGAAATCGATATATTTTTCTTTGATTGTTGATTCAACACCTGATGTTAGCCACGTGGACCAGTTAACTGTGATACTCAGATATGTTCTCATTGATGGTGAAATTAAAGAACGATTTTTAACTTTTGTTGACATCTATGCTCATAACGCTCAAAATCTGGAACAAGTGATCCTAGACGTTTTGAAGAAATGGGGGTTAGATATCACAAAATGCAGGGGACAGAGTTACGACAATGCTTCTAACATGTCTTGGCTTGCAGGCGCGAATCAAGGCACACAGTCCCAATGCAGTTTACATTCCCTGCTCTAGCCATAGCTTAAATCTAGTTGGTAATTCGGCTGCAGAATCATCGCTTTCAGCAGTATCATACTTTGACTTTATTCAAAACGTTTATGTGTGGTTCTCATCATCCACACACAGATGGAACATACTTAAAAGTCATCTAGTCAAAAGTTGATGCACCATAAAAAAAGTATCGTCACAAGGTGGTCAGCTAGAGCGGATGCAGTGTTTGCATTGCATCAGAACTACATTGGTATTCAAGAAGCTCTTCTTCAAGCAGCCGAAGATCGTGATCAGAAGGCGTCTGTAAGAAATGAGGCTAATGCTCTTGCTAATAAAATGGATCTTTTTGAGACTGCATTGCGGAATTCCATCAGCCAATGTAAGCTGGGAGATTTGTCTATTTTATGCATTGAATCAAAGGAGACATTAGAATACGATTTCAATGCGCACATTGACTCCTTCGCGAAATTGAAGAGCAGGAAAAAAGTTATATAACTGTAATAAACTGACAATTGTAATTTCTAACTAGTATCTATAGCTGTAGTATCTATGCATGTTAAATAATACATGGGTATGAGTGTTCTAACTATTGTTGTATTATGTTCGTTGATCGCCTTATAGGCGAGAGGGCCCCAAATTGGTCGTGCGCCTAGGGCCACAGTTTTTGTAAATACGCCTCTGCACCGGCACCATATACACCGGCACCATCTACACCGGCACCTAAGCCAATGACCACAGCGCCGAAAAATCATCTTTTACAACACTTTCAGCAAAATCAACTTCGACGTCGAACGACACATCAGCATTTACAAAAACGTTAGCACTATCTTTCTTCAATGTCATACGAGGACACACCAGAAACAGAAATATTTACGTCGACTCCAGTACACCCAAATCGACCCATCAACACCGACATTCTTCCGCCTCAGAGAACTACAAGATCGGGAAAAGCAGTTCAACTCCCATATCGATATCTTGTTTAGGATCGATCAACAGCTTATGCTGACGATCTGGTGGGAGAGTATTGTTGGAACGCACATCCATATTTTAAGCACGTTACGATTTGCTATATGTATATTGAAAACTTCCCTTCTTGCTGCGTTTTACGATCGAACTTCTCTTTGTAAATTTGTATAGCCGAACACGTTTTTATTTATTTTAGCATTACGTCAATAAAATACATTATAAACATTTTACTTATTGTTTCTTGCATCGAAAAAAATCTTTACAACTAGACTAAAGGTATATAAGGGGTGTAGGTTTCATGATCGATAGGTTAGAGTTGTTGTATTTATGGTTTGCGCTGTGAATTATTGACAATAGAGCAATATCAAGCGTATTTCAGGGATAAAAAATTCATCGGTTCTATTATTGTTACCATTCAAATAAACGTTTAAATAAGTCTGTGTTTGAAACAGTTAAGTTTATCTATCAGAAATCAGCGAACCTATGAAAGATCGAATAACTTGACAGTAGTACAAGCTACAAGACTGGTGTCAGAAGTGAGATTTTGATAGTTTAAAACTTTCGTAACAAATAATGCCTGTATTAGAATAACTCAATACAAGTAACCTAAGGAAGAAAATACTAAAACGAAACATTGACTCAAAAGGAACGGTCTGATAAACAAAAGTAACGATCTTGATCACTTAAACATTATAGAAATTAATAGAAAACTTGATCGACTAGCAGTCGAGTCAACAAAATTGGTAACCAAATTGTCAGCCGAAGTGAATAAATACTTGATCAACAGGAAACCAAAATGAAATTAAATGCAACCAAAACGTTAGAAGAACTAAAAGGATTAAACGACAAGATATAACAGCAATCAAGAAATTTCAAAGCGGAATTTAAAAAAAACTAATCGATAAAACGGACCAAAAAACAGACAAATTAAACAAATGAGTCGACGACCTAAAACGGAAATATCAGCTAGAAATAGAGAGAATTGCCCAAAAATAGAAACAAAAAGAAAAAAGCATGCACAAAGCGCCAAGCACCAAGTCAATAAAAGCAATATTGTTTAGGAGAGCTACCAGACTCCGTTCGAAGCAGCAGCACTCACTACGAGTGAAACACATGAGAACGAGCGACGGCACTGGTGATAGCACTAAGAAACTTCGCGTTGGAGGTATAACAATCGATTCCTGGCAAGGATCTTGACAACTTCGAAATCGCTATGAATACAAATATATAGAAAGCCTCTACAGGATACAGCTCGACCATTATATGCAAAAACCCAGAAAAACAACTGCTCAACAACTAACGCAAGACAGAAACATCTTCGACAAAAAGGGGCATAGAGACACGGTGTCCATAGCCCCCATAACCCTAACCTTAACCCATGCAGCATATGACGTTGAAATCAGCAAAATTGTCGTTGAAGAAGAACACAAGAATCAAATTTACTAAGAGAGTGATTTTCAACAAACAACAAAACAAACCATCTGAATGCTGAATTGCGAGAGAAAAAGCCATATACAACGGTTTTGCAATCAACAAACAGAGAAACACATAGCATGTATATATATATATATATATATATATATATATATATATATATATATATATATTGGAATTGAAAGAAAAAGAACCATTTACGACGATTTTGCATACAAAGGGTAAGAAACAGTCAACGGTAGGAAAAATATAAAATGAATTACGATAACACCGCATATCAGTCTGCTTACTCACAAGAGTCATCTACAGAAACAGCTTTACTGAAGGGGTTTAGTGACATTTAAAAATCAGAAAGATAATGGTAGGGCGGTGTTAATTGACTTTATTTGACTTTAGTTTAACGTTTGATACAATGTTCTGTTAAAGAGGTTGGCGGTTACTTATAGTATTGCTGGGATGGCTTCGGATTGGTTTGCCTCGTTTTTAATGGATCGAACGCAAAAAATTTTCTTTGATGGATGAGGTGGTGATGATGACTGGTGTCCCGCAAAGTTTGGATTTAGGCCCGATTCTATTTTTGATGTATGTTTATGATTAGCCTGGTTTAGTGAATGAACATGGTTTGGGGTTTATATTTATGCCGATGATCTCTAAATTTATTTTGCTGGATTAGCAAAGATACTGGGGTAATATCAAAAAGGTTGATTAAATGAATTGAGGAATAAATAATTTTTTGAATCTGAACCGTTTGAAGTTAAAGCAATTCTGAAGCAAAATGGGGTTAATTTGATTTAGATCTAAAAAAGTTATGATAAAATCGGTAGTTTTTTGATGTTCTTGGTAACCGGCTACACTGCAAGACTGTTTGTTGGGTTTGGTAGACGTGATCATATAACTGGGTGGTTGCAGGATATTTATTGGTTGCCGGTGTTTGAAAAAATTTACCATCTACCATTGCATCTGAAACAGATTGTTCCGATTGTTTCAGTAAAAAAAATTCAAACAGGAACTAAAGACGCACTGGCTCAATAAAGCGTTTAAATCATAGCTCCTGAGGAATATTTAAAAGAAAATGTTTATAATAATAATAACAAGGATTTGGAGAAACGAATAAATGCCATGTGACAAATGATGGCTAAGGAAACTAACGCTAGCAAACCTTTCTAGGTTACACTGAAATTGCAATGACTTTTGGCTAAACGGAAATTTTGCCTCAAAAATTGTGCGATAACTATCGACACTGGAGCCACAAGATCTATCCTAAGAAGCGCATCGTTTTACAGGGACATGAGAATTGCAACGGATATACATTACAAATGGCCATTTAAAAAACATCATCTATTCAACCGGATAATGCGTATGGAAACTTAGCATTTCAAGAATCGTTCCTTATAAAGGATATTACAGAGGGTTGCATAAGCGGTATTGATTTTTAAACAAAACATGATTTCATGACTGATTTGGAAAAACGTGTCTTCAGGTGGAGAAAAACGGTAAAAATAATGTGAAGTAATGAAGTAAAACGTGTCAAAGTGACAACTGGGGTTAAAACGGTATATATATAAATATATATATATATTTTTATATATATATACATATATATATATATATATATAATATTATATTGGACTATCGGAAATGCAATTATTGATGAAAATCACAGCATGTTTGGCGTCCAGTCGATCATCGCGGTCATCCACGAAGTTGCTTTCAGTCCGTGGGTTTTTAATAAATATTAACTGTCAGAAATGCCTTTCATGAGGAGATTGAAACAAAGATTAAACAGCAACGGCAATGCAGGATCACCCTGGAGCACCCCGCATAATAATGATAATAATAATGCGAACTCTTTTATTTCAAAGCAAAGACACTAAATAATTATGAAAATAAAATAATGAAATGTCACAATAATATAATAAAATGTAATAAAATGTCAATGATTGCCACAATGCTCATTTTTAGAAAAAGTACATAGCGGTGAAGTATATTCAAATATATATCACAAATTGTTTCTGTCACAATATATGCCATACGATAGTTTTATAACAGTCTCTATCAATTCATCGTTGAAAGAATCTGGCCACAAAATTTTAAAAAGTGAAAAATTAAAATTATTATAAAAACCTATTGGTGATATTTCAAAAGTATTTATAATTATTGTGCAGTGTTTATAGTTGTCATTTAGATAACTGTGCAAATTGTCTGAATATTTTTTGATCTTGTATTGCCTGGATGATTCAAGATTTATTTCATGACAAACCGTTAACTCTAAGATCTCTACTGTGTTGCCTAGTAGTATGGCGATGTCAGGTCGTAGAATGTTGAACAGATCTGATATAGGGTGAACACCGTCAATTTTTAAATCTGCAAACAACCGACAGTAGGCAGGCGCACATAGTTTCAATCGGTTGGTGATCGCGGCCAAAATTTTATTATGTCTTTCAGTGTATCTTTTAAGTGTGGATGTGGACCCGCAGTTAGAAATCACATGTTTATTTGTTTGTTTACAACCGCAGAGAAGGCACAAAGGACTTGGAGTTTTGCCCCATTTAAACAAATTGGCATTTGTTGGCAGTTGCAGTACCAAATATTTCCTGGCAAATTTGAAGAGTACTCCAGCAAGATTCTCTAGAGTTTTTGACCAACGAGAAATATTATTAGTTTTGATGACGGTTTTTATTTTAGAGATAATTGTGGCAAATTGTGGTAAATATTTCCTGGCAAATTTGAAGAGGACTCCAGCAAGATTCTCTAGAGTTTTTGACCAACGAGAAATATTATTAGTTTTGATGACGGTTTTTATTTTAGAGATAATTGTGGCAAATTGTGGTAAATATTTCCTGGCAAATTTGAAGAGGACTCTAGCAAGATTCTCTAGAGTTTTTGACCAACGAGAAATATTATTAGTTTTAATGACGGTTTTTATTTTAGAGATAATTGTGCCCTGACTCACAAGCGAAAGAACGTGGCTAAAACATGATTCAACTCTTTCATCTTTCAGCTGTTTGAGCGATGATTTTAGGGCATTTGATTTTGAAAGGATACTGTCAACTTTGATGTAATTGATTGTTGATTCTTTGTACAAACATTGAATTTCTTTATTTTGGTTGGTTTTAAAATAGTTTCACATCTCGTTTTTTCTGAGGTATCCTCTAGGGACATAATATTATGGCCTTCCATCCATGCTGGCAGCGAAGTTAGTTCTGCTACACAGCCACTAATTGGCATATCCAACCAGTTTCGGATAGCTTCAACAATTAGATTATCCAGATTCTCTGCTATCCAAGTCAACGAGAAACTGTAGCTGCGAAGTTCAAAAATTATTTGAGTGAGAACAAACCTTCTCAAAACCTGTAGTCTCTGTTGTGGGCGCACATCCAACTTTGAGATCTTTTCCAACAACTGAATGACCTTCAACTGTAACTCGTTTTTTGCTTCGGAATCTTTGCATTCATAATCGTAGTTTGCCTAGATACCTGAAAGATTGACCAATTTCCACGTTAGGGATTTGTACGTCTTCAATCGTTAACCGTGGCAAGAATTGAACATATTTGCCATCTTTTTTCCTCATTCCAAACGAGCAGCATTTGTCAACTCTCATTTTCATTTCTGACCAGTTGCACCAAAGTTGATTCAAATCGATCAGTTTTTGTGCTCCTTCAGTGCTGTGAGCAATGACTGCCGAGTCGTCGGCAAATTGAAGCCATGATCTAGTATTTATGTTGGAAGTTGGGCCCCAGAGATAACCAGGTTGTTTATATTCTTTGGTGTCCAAGATTTTCATGAGAGGGTTGAAACAGATATTAAAAAGCAGCGGGGAACAGGGGTCGCCTTGAAGTACACCTTTTCTAACTGGTATTGCTTGCGACAATTCACCGTTAACAGATAGTGATATAGAATAGTTGCAATACATTGATGCTATTATATTATGAAATATTAGTGGAACATGATATTTTAAGATCGAAGTGATGAGATGATGGTTTACCTTTCCAAAAGCATTTCTTAAGTCCAACAATGTAACAACAATGGTGCGTTGATGTCGCTTGGCATTTTTTAATAGATGGGTTAACATTTGGGTGTGTTCGGCTAACCCATCGACAGTTGGGTAAAAGACTTTTGGTATATTTTTGTTGATAAAATTGTTTTTGTCAATAAAGTTGTAGAGTCTTGATTTTATGAGAGTTGAAAATAATTTATAGATTACTGGTTGCAAAGTAATTGGACGAAAATTTGATGGGTCTTGTGAATCACCTTTTTTGTAGATTAGGACCGTCAATTCTCTACACCAGCATTTTGGAATTATTGTAGCACGCCAACACATTGCAAACAATTTATGAAGGTATGTTCTCAATATTGGGCATCTTTTGAAAACTATAATTGAAATTTGACAAGGAGATGCCTTTGCTTTTCTTTTCTTCACAATTGCAGTAATCTCATTGTAAGTTGGTGGATTTAAATTTCCTTGAAACGACGGAGAAGGAAGGGATCCAATTTGGGAGACGAAACGTGGTACGATCACCAGCGTTTAGTAGATTTTTAAAGAAGTTGGCTGCTGTTTCCATGTTGAAGAGTGGCGATTCAGAATTAGATTTGTTAAAAATATTATTTCATGTTTTCCAAAAGTTCTGTTTCAGTTTAGTTAAAATATTGTCTTTATTTTTAGATACTTTATTAGTTTTTAATGTTGCCCTTATCTGCCTGCTGAGCATGAGTTGGCTATCTTTAATTTTTTTAATTTTGTTTTTAAATGTCTAATATTGCAATTTTTGTGCTTCTTGGTGTTGAATCTTTTGTTAACGTTCCATAATTTGACGCAAAATATGAGTAAATTATGTTTTGAAATTCGATGGCGAAGTTGTCAACGTCAGCACAGTTGTTAAGACGTTTTAGTTCAATATGAAAAAATGCGTTGGCTTTAACCCAATGTGTTGACGATTTGAGTATTTTTATACCAGGTAGTGGTTTTGGAATAGTTGTTGAATCTGATGTGTGTTGAAATGTTGTTGCATTGTTATCATCGCTGTCGACTGGTTCCACTTCGGACTTCGTGGATCTGAGCGATTTGTAAGATTTACATGATCTTTGATGCATCAACAGTCCTTTCCGACCCTTGCAAGTTTTACCACAACAACAAGTCATCATATTATTTAAATTATCAGGTAAAATATTATTATTATTTGTTAATAAATTGGAAAAAATGTTAACGTTATTGTTTGGTGAAATAATTTCCTTAGAGTTAGAATGAATTGCTGTACACCGCCAGGAGTGTCTATTAATAAAATTAAAGTCTTTATAGCAATACGGGCAAATTGTTGCGTTTACATTGTTACAAGAAATTAAACTAATTAAACTATTAACCTTAAAATAATCGATTAAACCAAATTTTAAAAAAGGCAGCCATTTTCTTTATCAATTATCCTACAATTTGATATAAAATTTAAATATATACCACGTTATAAAACCTTATATTGCTAAAATAAACAATGAGCTACATAAAAGCGACTCTCTTGTTCAAAGTCAAAAGCAATAAAAATAATGGGAACAGATCATTTATTTTTTATCAAATGCGTAAAGACAATAATTAGTTAATTAATAGAGAAATAGTCATGATTAAAATAAAATTAAATTAAAATAATTTTTAAATAAAATCATAATCATTATAGTTAGTCATCATTGCTCTTTATTTAAAATAAAATAAGTACAGCGATGATAAGATAGTTATGAAAATTGATTCACGCATTGTTCCGATCACAATATATGGCATATGATGATGATATCACAGTGCTAATTAAACTTTGGCGAAAATCTTCGGTCAAATCAATTTTTATCAAAGACAAATTGAAAGAATTGTAAAAGCCTATGGGCGATAATTCAAAAGAATTTATTAAAATATTATAATGACTAAAATTGTTCAACAGGTTGTTTTTGAGATTGCTTGTATATTTGTCGAGTTTGTATTGCCTGGACTTGACAAAGTTTGTTTTGTGGCAAATGTTTAGTTCAAGTATTTCGATGGTATTGTTGCTGAGAATGGCGATGTCTGGTCTAAGCGATCTGAATAGATCATCCTCTAAGCGATCATCCTCTACATCCGCGAAGATGGCGATATTCGGACCAGCACATGCTTTGATGTTGTTGATGATTATTGAGAAAACTTTGTTGTGGCGATTTAAGTATCGTTTGAGTGCTGTTTAATAATAATAATAGTAATAATAATAATAGTAATAATAATAATAATAATAATGGGAACATCATTTTATTTTTATCATAAATCACACGTTAAAAAAATTGTTAATGAATTAAAATTTAATAAAAGTAAAACTGTTTTAAAATTAAGAATTAAAATATTCTACGAAGCTCGAAATCCTAAAGAAGAATGCGTACAACAAGAAAGGATTAGTTCTAAAGGATGCATTCATTTAGTATTTCTGTCACAATAAATGGCATACGATGACGATATTACAGAGTACATGAGACTATTGTTAAATTGGTCAGACCAAGTTAATTCGATTAATGTCAAATTGAAGTACTTAAAAAAGCCTAGCGGCGAAATTTCAAAAGTGTTCATTAATATTTTTAAATGTTTAAAATCGTCAAGTAAATTATTGTGCAAATTAGAATATTTATAATATTTTATATTGTTTGGAGTTAAGGAAGTTCGATTCGTGGCAGACCGTTAGTTCCAATATTTCGATTGTGTTGCCCCGGAGCAATGCGATGTCAGGACGTAATGTCTTGAAGAGACACGACAGTGAGCGGATATCTTTGCAGTTCGTGTCAGCAAATATTGAAACCTCTGGTCCCGCACACGACTTAAGTTTTTCTACGATTATATTCAAAATGTTGTCGTAGCGTGTAGTGTATCTATTCAGTGCCACCATCGAGTTGCAGTTTGACAGAACATGCTTGTTGGTTTGCCTTGCATTGCAGAGCGGACAAAGGGCAGTTGACGATTTCCCCCATCTAAACAGATTAGCATTTGTGGGGAGCTGTTGGATGAGACTTTTTCTGACGAATTTGAATAGGGTCTCTGGTAGACTTTCAGTGAACTTTGACCAGTAAGCAATTCTAGTCGTGGAAATGTGGTCTTTTATCGATTTCAGAAGCGTCCCTTGGCAGCGGAACGACAGCAAATGTTTTAGTTCTGCATTTTCTTGTTGAGTCATTAGCGTTTTGAGTGTCGGTTTGATATCCTTTGTGTCCGGTAGCAAGTTGTCAATCTTTGTGTTGCTATTGGACGACTCACTCCATAAACACTTTAGTTCATCATTGCCGTTTGACTTCAGATAGTTTCGGAGTTTCAATCTTAACCATTCGGCAAAGTTTTTGAGTGATCTAACGTTTAGACCTCCTGATTTACTGGGGAGCGACAAGCTTTCTGATAGGCAGCTAATTGGCAATGACAACCATGCTCTAACCGTATCGGTAACCAGTGGATCCAGGTACGTTTCAATCCAGGTTAGCAAAACGTTATAGGCGCGAAACTCAAATGCAAACTGTGATGGAAGGTAGTATCTTAATATTTTAGTTGTACTGTTGTCTTTAATTCAGTGACAGTTGCTAGTATTGTTTTCAGTTTGTTGATCATTTGGCTTTTGGCCTCTGTGTTGTTTCCTTCGTAATCGTACAATTTACCAAAATATACGAAGTGGCCTCCAATGTCAACTTGAGGGATATGTTTGTCATTAATGGACAGCACCGGAGAGAACTGTTCGTAAACACCGTTTCGTTTTCTCATCCCGATTGAAGACACTTGTCAATCTTCAAAGTCATTCCAGTCGCTGTGTACCATGCCTGATTCAAGTTAATTAATTTTTTTGCACTTTCTGTGCTGTTAGCAACAATCGCCGTATCGTCTGTAAATTGCAACCATGCTCTTGTTTTCAAATTAGCTGTGGGACCCTAAATGTATCCACATTGTTGGAATTTAGCTTTCTCAACTACTTTCATTAGGGGATTGAAGCAGGGGTTAAAGAGCAGTGACGACACAGGATCTCCTTGGAGCACTCCTCGATTGACGTGAATGGGGGATGTTAGTTGGTCGGCTCCGGATACCGTTATTGAATACTTAGTGTATATGTCTTTAATTAGGCTTTTTATGTGAGATGGAATGTGATGATAGTCCAGAGTTGATGTGATGAGACTGACCTCACCGAATGCGTTTCGAAGGTCTAGTAGGGAAACAATTATTGTTCTTTGATGTTTCCTCGCATCGTTGAGAAGGTGAGTAAGAAGTTGATTGTGCTCTGTCAGTCCATCAATTTTAGGGTAGAACCCCTTCTGAACGTTTTTGTTGATAAATGCGTTTTTTTCCAAAAAGTTATAAATTTTGTTGTTGATGAAAGATGAAAATATTTTGTATAGTGTAGGTTGCAATGTTATGGGTCTGAAACTTGATGGATCATGAGCGTCACCCTTTTTGTGAAGCCCTTTCTCCAACAAGTTGAGATTCTGCAAGATGTCCAGCATTTAACTAGCAGTTTGTGGAGAATTGTGTGTAATATTGGGCATTTCTTGAATGGGATTATAAAAGTTTGGTCAAACGAACATGGAGATTTTGACTTGTATTTGCGAATTATTGTCGAGATTTCGTGATAAGAAGAAGGGCTGGTGTTGCAGGGTGATGAAGGTAATTGTAATTTTGGAACCCAGTTGGGTAGCTGATGTTTTTATTGGTGCGGATCATTGAGAATTGAATGGAAATATTTGTTGCATTCGATGACGTTAAAAAGTGGCTTCATGTTTGTTGTTTGGTTGAATATTTTTTTACATGTAGGCCGAAATCGTTTTTTGAGCTGAGTTGTGATGTCATTCGTTTCGAGTGCATCTTTTGATGTTCTTTTTTTGATGCTATTCTTGATCTTATCGCTTTACTTGCTTTGCTAATTAGACTGTCAAAGCGCTGATTGTTTTGACCCAATAGCTTAAGTTGTTTCAGTTCTTTTTTCAGTTGTTTTATTGATTTATTGGAGTGAGAGTTGTTGACTGTTTGAGTTTTAATGGTCCCGTAGTTTTTAGCGAAATATTTGTAGATCATTTGTTGGAAGACATGGGCGAACTCGTCAATGTTGTCGCAGTTTGGGAGAAATTGTTGATGAAGCTGGAAGAAGGCGTTGGCTTCGAGCCATTGAGCTGACGATTTGGGTAATTTGACGCCTGGAAGAATAGATTCTATTTTATCTGGCGTTGGCGACGCTGGTACTTCACGGCTTTCTGAGAGGAATGTTTGTTGATCTGGAGCTGGTGTTGTGCCATCTACGTTGTCTGTTGGGTTGTCTGAAAGTTGAAATGTTTTATGCATTTTGCATGAGCGTTGATGCATAATTAAACCCTTACGGCCTCTGCAGCCCTTTCCACAGCAACAAAATATTAAAATGTTCTCTAAATTTATTGAAGCGGTGTCTGCTGAATTTGTTCTGTAGATACTTGGAGAAATATTTACATTAGATTTTGCATTTGGGCGTGCAGCGTTATTGTTTAGACTTGCAGTGTTACTTGTACACCTCCAGGTGTGTTTGTTAAAGTTGGCGAATGTTTTATCGCAATAAGGACATTTTGTTAAATTTTCAACGTTAATTGAATTAATTAAAATAATTAAAATAATATATAAAACGTTGTTAAAACTTAATTTTAAAAACACCGCCATGTTCCTCTCAATTTTTCCAATCAGCAGTATCAACTTTAAAACTAATTTAATAAAAATAAAATCAAAATTATGAGTAAAAACAGTGAGTTGAACGTTTGCAGCCAACTTTCGTATTTCACAATCCCATAATAATAATAATAATAATAATAATAATAATAATAATAATAATAATAATAATAATAATAATAACGAGAACACCTTTTTATTTTCATCGTAAAAACGTACATGAAATTAAAAAAAAGAAAAAAACAATAATTGTCAATGATAACCAAAATTAAAATATATATGTATATAGTAAAATGTCCTGAAATAATCTCCGAAGCTCGTCATCTTATAAAAAGGATGTGTACAACGAGAGAAGGTTAGTCCTAAATGGTTCATTCAATTTGCATTTCTATCACAGTAAATACTATATGGTGACGAAATTGCTGCATAAATAAGGTTGTTTATAAAATCATCAGTCCATATTAAATTAATGAGAGACAGATCAAAA